AAATTTCAGAACTCTAACAAAACTTTCAAAATTTAATTATTATTTCATTATTGGTGATTTTAATGACAGAACCAATTAGGAACTGCCATTTATTATGAAATTTTGAGAGTTTTGTTAGAGTTCTGAAATTTTCACCACCAGAATTTTAGTTTTGTAAGTACTTTAGAACCATTTAGAACCATGGATTGCCCAAGCCTAATATTGGGTATTTGTGGCAAATGTGGTCCAGTGAATGAAAATACATCCTGCATATCGGATATTTACATTACGATTCATAACAGTAGCAAAATTACATTTATGAAGTAACAATGAAAATAATTTTTTGCTTGGGGGTCACCACAACATGAGGAACTGTATTAAGGGGTCGCGGCATTAGGAAGGTTGAGAACCACTGTGTTAGGTTGACAGGAGCTGGGCCTAAAAGCAAGAACTCAACCTGCTCCTCTGATTCGAACCGCCAACCTTTTGGACAGCAAGTTCAGCAGTTCAGCGGTTTAACCCACTGTATCACTGGGGGTCCTATGCCAGTGTATAGATAGATAGATAGATAGATAGATAGATAGATAGATAGATAGATAGATAGATAGATATTCCCTATGGATCTTTAGGCTCAAACTATGACAACCCATATCCTTATTGAATGTATTGCCTATGCTGAAACCATGATGATCCATAAGCCACTTTAATATATGGCCAATGAATCCTAAGGCTCAGACAACAACCCATAGATGCCTTTGATATATTACCAATGCTCAAACAAGGACAGCCCCTGGGCTGATTCTGAGTATTGCCACGACAACCAATAATGGATTGTCAATAGGGTCCTATATTGGAAGAATAACCGAAACAAAATAAAGGTCAACAAATGCATGGTTAGATCCCATTGATTCTTATAGAAAACAACTCTTTCCTGTTCTTTTAATTGCCGTTAAGGTAATTTATTAGGTCCTGATGACTTGAATCCATTTGGAGTAGCCAGATATTCTTACACTACCGATACTGTGTGGCGTTTCCTTTACTGCTCTAATGGGAATTTTTAAATTTGATCAGCCCAATTAAAAATTAAAAAGCAATCCATTAAATGTGTTGGAAAGCCATTGGTTGCTATAAATTATAGAATGTGTCACCAATTTATCCCCCAAAAAAGGGGGGACAGTCAAAATTTGCGACACGCAAGGATGACAAGTAGCTATTTCACAACTCAGCAGGAACGGACGCCTAGATTCCAATTCTTTTCAACATGTGTTTCTCTGTTTTTAAAAAAGAACAACATATTTTCCAGTTTCATAAATTCCATGATGCACATATTTCTGCCTTCGTGGAGGGCCCAACGCTTCCAAAATTGGGGATTTTTTTTCTTCTTCTGGCATCTCGCTCCATGTCAAAAGGACAAACTTTCCAAAAGAAGGGACTTTTCATATAAAGAGGATCAGCAAAATTTGATAAACAATTGCATCAAGGTAGATCTCAATCTTTTTGCAGCCAAATAACTACACATCCCAGCATTTTTATGAATGCTAGAGCAGGTGGGATTTGTAGTCTTTGAGGGATGCTCCGATGCTCACACCTCCATCAGCTCCTAAGCTGGATTTCGGGGAACAATTTGGAAAAAGACTCCAAATCTTGCTCCTTTTTTGACAAATTCAGTGGTTCCTAACCTTTTTTTTGACCAGGGACCAGTTGACCAAGGACCACTTGACCAGATACCACTTGAACCAGGACCACTTTGACCAAGGACCACTTGAGCAAGGACCACTTTGACCAAGGATCACTTGACCAAGGACCACTTGAACATGGACCACTTGATCAAGGACCACTTTGACCAAGAACCATTTGATCAAGGACCATTTTGACCAGGGACCATTTTACCAAGCACCACTTGAACAGGGACCACTTGATCAAGGACCACTTTGACCAGGGACCACTTGACCAAGGACCATTTGAACAGGGACTACTTTGACCAGGGACCACTTGATCAAGGGCCACTTTACCAAGGACCACTTGAACAGGGATCTATCTCCAACATATATTATTATAATATTTTAATATAATAATTTAAAAAACCAATGTAATGATAATGTAATTACAATGTAATAACAATGTGATAACAATTTAATAACTACAATAAAAACAACTGGAATCAAAATATACACTCCCTTTCTCCCTCTGATGCTGGGAACTGTGTCAGCTTTATGTATAATCTAAATTGAAAGCATGCTGATCAGATTTGCAGATGGGACCAAATTGGGAAGGAGAGCTAAGATCCCAAAAAGACAGGATGAGGATCCAAAAGGACCTTAACGATCAGAGAGCTGTTCAGCTAAAACTAACAGAATGCATTGCACGAGGGAGAAATGTATAGTACTACACTCTGGCAGTAAGCATGAAATGCACAGCTGTAATAGAATGGGTTTGAAAAGAGTCCATGTGAAAGGCATCTAGGGGTCTTTGTAAAGAGCCACAAGGAGAGGCGGGTAAGAAACAAAATTATTATTATTATTGTTGTTATTATTATTATTAGCTGAACCTGAGCCAACAGTGTGATGCAGCAGTGCAAAAGGCCAATGTGATTTTTAGGGTCTTCATTGGACGCATTGGTGGTCAGACAAGATGGCCTTTGGGGTCCTCCCGTGATCCCAGGATTCTCCAAACAGACTGCATCACCAGTGAAATATTTCACAAATCTATACCTATCAAGCACCTTTAGCTCGCTCAAGTCATGAAGCCAAGCCTTCCTCAGAAAGATCTCCCAAGCCTTTCCCATCCCTCTGAGATGTAAACCGTCACAACTCATCCACTGCAAAATTAGCCACATTTCTCTTCCAAGACTTATCCCAACCCAACCCAGTTGTCTCGCCGAAGCAGAGCATGGGAAGAATACATCATGTCAGTTTGAAATTGCTTCATTGCGAATGAATTGTGATTGCCAGCCGAAACCCAAGGGGTTCGGACAGCTTGGTCCAAGAAAATATAGAAGTCGCAGAAGACGGACGTGCAAAGTTTGACCGGACGAGAAGTTCTTAAAGAAGGAACAAGAGAACCCACTGGGCATTGGACAGATCTGAGAAACTATTGGTCCCATTTTTTGGATCCTTTGCAAGTTAGAAAGGAATCCCAAAGTGTCCAACAAATGGGACCCATCTCCTGTTTCCATTCTCCTTTGCAACCAAAGTAACCTAGAAAAGGATGTCAGATCAGAACACAGGTGGCTCTTACTAACCAACTTGTGTGCAAATTAGAACAAAAACRCACACTTTTCTGGTAACTACTCCTTTTYGATACAAACTCTCRGGCTTGAYTGTCCCATGTTCTAACCACCATCCAGGCTTACTCAGAACACTTGTACATGCTCAGAKGYRCTCTCTGATCCATCCCCATGACCAAGMTTTGCAWTTTGGAAACCRTMTCTCAAACCCAGYYCATAYTGCCACTCTTCCTACCCTATTTAGYTCTGATTTTTTTAAAAGTGAGGAATATAATGGTGGCATCACCATTTCCCTATCCARCTGGTTTTGCAGACCCTCTTCCATCAGAAGGATGGAGCAAAGAGTTGGGAAGTTTTGTWCCTTTCARTGAAAGTGAGAGAARGGATGCAAARRGGGRGGRGGGRAGARAAGAAAATTGGAAAYCGGAGAAGACAAGACTGGAAMGTTGGAAGAAGTTCCCCAGAAAAAGATGGAAAGKAGACAACAAGGTCCACCATCCATAGTAAGGGRASAYAGGGAAGTTCARGATGCCCAGAGAAGGAGAAGATGGAAAGGAGACAAGACAGTYCARCACTGCAGGACARGATCAGCCAAAAGTTGGAAGRTCCCCAGMAAAGATGGAAAGATCAGAGAAGGAGAGGATGGCAAGGAGGMAARAAGGACCACCATCTGCAGTAAAAGACCAGAAAGTCAGAATATGTCAAGAGGAGGAAGTGAAAGGAGACACAGAGGTCTACATTAAGAAAAGACCAGAAAGTTAGAAGATGCCAAGAGAAGGAGAAGGTGGAAAAGAGGCAAGGAGGCCCACTGCTGCAGGGTGAGATGAGCAGAAAGCTGGAAGAGCTTCAGAGAAGGAGAAGATGCAAAGATGGTCCACCATCCACAAGAAGAGAAGACTGGAAAGTTGAAAGATGCCCAGAGAAGGAGAAGATGGAATGGAGGCAAGGAACACCATTTGCATTAAGAAAAGACCAGAAAATTAGAAGATACCCAGAGAAGAGGAAGATAGAAAGGAGACAAGGAGGTCTACTATCCACAGGAAGAGAAGACCAGAAATTTAGAAGACGCCCAGAGAAGGAGAAGACGGAGAGAATGCAAGGAGGTCCAATGCCACAGGAAGGGATGAGCAGAAAATTGGAAGAGCCTCAGAGAATGAGAGGATGGAAAGGAGAAGAGAAGACTATAAAGTTGAAAGATGCCCAGAGAAGGAAAAGATGGAATGGAGGCAAGGAGCACCGTTTGCATTAAGAGAAGACCAGAAAGTTAAAAGATGCCCAGAGGAGAGGAAGATGGAAAGGAGACGAGGTCCATCATTTGCATTAAGAGAAGACTAGAAAATTGGAAGATCCCGACAGAAGGAGAAGATGAAAAGGAGGCAAGGAGGTTGACCATATGCAGAAAGAGAAAGAACCATAAAGTTAGAAGATGCCCAGAGAAGATGGAAAGGAGACAAGGATGTCTACCATCCACATGAAAAGAAGACCAGAAAGTTAGAAGATGCTCAGAGAAGAAGATGGAAAGGAGACAAGGATGTCCACCATCCACATGAAAAGAAGACCAGAAAGTTAGAAGATGCCCAGAGAAGAAGATGGAAAGGAGACAAGGAGGTCCAATGCTGCAGGAAGAGATGAGCAGAAAGTTGAAAGGTCCTTACGGAAGGAGAGGATGGAAAGGAGGCAAGGAGGCCCACCAGTAACCTATCCAAGGGCTGGCCTTCCTTCTACATGGAGGGGATGCATGCTAACCCCCCAAACCAGGCAGCCTGAGCCTGGAGTGGGCTCTCCCTTTGCTTACCTCCTTGCCACGAAGCCGGGAGGCTGGAGAGGAGGAGAAGGAGGAGGCCGGCTGCTCCAGAAAGGAGGGAAGAAGTCCACGGCTTGGCCATCTCTCCCCAGCAATGCCCCAGTCTGCTGGCGGCCCGAGCGGTTTTATCCCAGCGGTGCCGCAGCTCAATTTGCGGCTTCCAGAGACTTTTTTTTCAGGGGGTGGGTGGGCTGAAAAAAGAGGGGGTCTAGAGAGAAGGAGGGAGGGAGAAGGAGGAGAACGGCCCGGGACACGACGTCATCCAGAGAGGGCAAACAAACAGGAGAGTTTTTTGGGCTGGCTTCCCTTGTTTCGAAAAATCTCTCCCTCTCGGTCGTCTGGGCCCAGTCTCTTGCCAAAAGCGAGCACAGCTGCCAAGAAAAGACAAGAGTTTGGAGGAAAAGGAGGTGTTTGGAGCTCCCTCTAGCTTGGGACGGCAGCCCTGACCCAACTCCATAAAGGATGTGTCTACACCGGCGAAAGGAAGGCAGACTCACTCCCAAATCCTGCACTGGATCTGTCTCTGGGCCCAAGCTAACTCCAAACTCTCTTCATGCACATCAGCGTTCTGCGGTTCGCATCAGCACCATCCGGGCGTCCAACTGGTTCCAGGATTTCCAAGGCAGTCACCTGTGCTTACTTCCATAGTGGTTTGAAACTGTGTTAAATAGTCAGTTAGACAGGGCCCTTGTTTGCCCACAACCCAACTTTCTTCAAAGCGAAGCAAAGTCAGAAGGAAGGACTACGTTTCACGGGAACTCCGGAGTGACTTTTGGTTCTTTGATGGTGCGGACAGCTCAAGTGAATCATGGAACCAGAGCATCAAAGAGTTGGAAGAGACCCCAAATGCCATCTAGTGCAACTTCCTCCTACCAAGCAGGAGGACACCACCTAAGCCCTCCTGACAGATGGCCATCCAGACAAAGATAATGGTCATAGATATGATATATGTGATTAAGAGAAGATTTTGTGTGTGTGTCAGGAACAACTTGAGAAACTGCAAGCTGCTTCTGGTGTGAGATAATTGGCCGTCTGCAAGGATGTTGCCCAGGGGACGCCTAGATGTTTTTGATGTTTTCCCATCCTGTGGGAGGCTTCTCTCATGTCCCCACATAAGAAGCTGGAGCTGACAGATGGGAGCTCACCCACTCTTGCCAGATTCAAACCATTGACCTGTCTGTCAGCAGTCCTGCCAACACAAGGGTTTAACCCATTTTGCCACCGTGGGTTCTAGAATAATAAAAGTCTAGAACGTATGTATGTGGATGTATAGGTATGTGTGTATGTGGCAGCTATCTGATTGGCTCCCACTTTCACAGGACACTGTGACCCCCATGAAAGATGAACCTGAACCAAACTTGGTACACATAACCCCCATGACCCACTTTACATCCTGGTATAGTTTGGGGGAGGATGGCTCACAGATGGTGGGATTTGCAGTACTTTCAACCGCTTCAGCTCCCACAGACCACTGTGACTCCACCAATGATGGAACAGGACCAAACTTGGTACACAGACCCCACATGACCCACTTTACAGCCTGGTGTGGTTTAGGGGACGATGGACCACGGATGATGGGACTTGCAGTACCTTCATTCACTTCCTGAGACCACTGTGACCCCCACCAATGACAGATCAGGACCAAACATGGCACACAGAGTCCCCATCGCCCATCCTGATGCAGTTTGGAAGAGGATGGACCATGGATGATGGGATTTGCAGTACCTTCCCTCACTTCCTGAGACCACTGAGACCCACACCAATGAAGGATCAAGACCAAACTTGGCACACAGAGCCCCCATCGCCCATTCTACATCCTGGTGCAGTTTGGAAGAGGATGGACCATGGATGATGGGACTTGAAGGACTTTCACTCACTTCCTGAGACCACTGAGACCCACACCAATGATGGATCAAGACCAAACTTGGCACACAGAGCCCCCATCGCCCGTTCTACATCCTGGTGCAGTTTGGAAGATGATGGACCATGGATGAAGGGACTTGAAGTAGCTTCACTCACTTCCTGAGACCACTGAGACCCACACCAATGACGGATCAAGACCAAATTTGGCACGCAGAACCCCCATGACCCACTTTACAGAAGGAGCTGATTAGATATGTTTGAAGAGGGAGAGAAATTGTAGATATATCTTCAAATCCTTCAATCGGAAGGGACCACAAGGAGGACACCAAGCAGGAAGACACCATCCAAGCCCTCCCTGACAGGTGGCCATCCCCCTCTGCTTAAAGACCACCAGAGAAAGGGGCTCCACCACACTTGGAAAACAAGGGGGCCCAGACAATTGGGGGGGGGGCACAGAACGTCTGGAGATAGCCTATCTCCAAAAGCATTCTTCCTTTGCTTCCAAACAGCTGAGCTGGAGATTCGGAGCCAACAGGGCTGAGGGCCAGACGTGGCTCAAGCTGTTTTGTGCTCCGATATCCCACACCTGGAGCCCCAAAAAGGGCAAGGGAGGGCACCGGACGTGGCTGACACAACACAAGACACAGGTGGACAAAAGGAACATCCGATCCCCGCAACGGCAACAATCTCTTGTCGCTCATCTGGGATGGATGGGTTTGCTTTGGCAGGAGGTTTTGCCAACACATTCCTGGGCCCTGCGATGTTCCGCAAATGGAAACAGGGAAGGGCCTGGCCATGCAAAGTACAGTCAAGATGGCACATGTTATTCATCGCAAAGACCAGGCAAGGTAGATGAGGATGCAGCCATTTGCTTTTGCCAGAGCCAACTGGGAAGGGTCCTAACCAAAGGCCTCTGTGTATTAAGATCTATATCTTTGGGAGGGGGAGGGTGAGGTAGGTTGGACTAAAACTCCCAAAGGACATCCAGATGTTTTGGGTCCAGCTGCAAAGTCAGCCTGGCAGGCTTCCCTAGGTCAGCGACCGCAGACAGCCCTATGTTTCCCAATTTCAAGGGTGTGCATTTGAGTGTGTGTATATCTTTCTTTCTCTCTCTCTTTCTTTCTTTTGCTCTTTCTTTCTTCTCTCTCTCTCTCTCTCTCTCTCTCTCTCTCTCTCTCTCTCTCTCTCGCGTTTCCACTTGGCTCCGGATGGCTCCAGATGGCCATCTGTCTGTCTGGGAGGATGCAGGCTCCACTTCTGAAGGAACCGCTCTGTTTTCCTTTGCAAAAATGCCTTCTCCTCCCTTTCTTCTGTTCTCTTTCTCCCTTCGTCCAGCTGCCTTGGTACTGGATTGCAAAACATGGTGAGGCGGGCGACTCGTGCGAGGAGAACACACAAGTTGCACTGAGAGAAAAGTCTTCTTGTCTGGTCTGAGACACCCCTTGCCACCTTTTTCCAAAGGGTGTAAGGTCATACAATGCTTTATATGAGGTTACACTGACCATACAATGCCTTATATGACCCTACACTGATCGTACAGTACCTTATATGCATCTATATTTACTATGCAATCCCTTGTTTTTGTTCTAGGTAGGGCATTATATGATCAGTATATGAGCCTACTGATCATATAATGCCCTACCTAGAACAAAAACAACAACATGACTCCACACTGACCATACAACGCCTTATATGCCTCCACATGTATCTATATTGACCATTCAATGCCTTATGAGTCTACTGATCATACAATGCCTTATATGACTCTACGCTGACCACACAATGCCGTATGAGACTTTACACTGACCATACCATTTCTTATATGCATCTATGTTGACAATTCAATGCCTTATGAGTATACTGATCGTCTAATGCCTTACTCTGACCCTATAAAGTGCTTTATATGTGTCTACACTGACAATGCCATGCATTATATGAGTCTATATTTATCACACAATGCTATATACTGACTGTATAATGCCTTACACGAGTTTACACTGACCGTGTAATGCCTTACACATGTTTACACTGATTGTATAATGCCTTACACGAGTTTACATTGACCTTATAATGCCTTACGCGAGTCTATACCGGTCGTATGTTACTTTACACAAGTCTATGACTTTATAATGCATTGCATGAGTCTACACTGACTGTATAATGCCTTACAGGAGTCTACACTGACCATATAATTCCTTACACTAGTCTACACTGACCGTATAATGCCTTACACGAGTCTACATTGACTGTATAATGCCTTACACGAGTCTATGCTGACCTTATAATGCCTTACGCGAGTCTACACTGATAGTATGATGCTCTACACGAGTCTACACTGACTTTATAATGTCTTATGCAAGTCTACACTGACCATATAATACCTTACAGGAGTCTACACTGACCATATAATGCCTTACGCAAGTCTACACTGACTGTATAATGCCTTACAGGAGTGTACACTGACCATATAATTCCTTACACAAGTCTACCCTGACCTTATAATGCCTTACACAAGTCTATACCGATTGTATGATGCTTTACACGAGTCTATGCTGACTTTATAATGCCTTGCTTGAGTGTACACTGACCGTATAATGCCTTACAGGAGTCTACACTGACCGTATCATTCCTTACAGGAGTCTACACTGACCATATAATGCCTTACGCGAGTCTACACTGACCATATAATGCCTTACATGAGTCTACACTGACCGTATAATGCCTTACACGAGTCTACATTGACCATATAATTCCTTACACAAGTCTACACTGACCGTATAATTCCTTACACGAGTCTGCACTGACCATATGACGTCTTAAACAAGTCTACACCAACTGTATAATGAATTACATGAGTCTACATTAACCGTATAATGCTTTACACAAATCTACACTGATGATATAATGCTTTACACGAGTCTACACTGACCATATGATATCTTATACAAGTCTACACTAACTGTATAATGCCTTGAATGGGTCTACACTGACCATGTAATACTTTACACGAATCTACACTGACTGTATAATGCCTTACACAGGTCTGCACTGATCATACACCTGACATGAGTCTACACTGCTCATATAATGCCTGATATGAGTCTATACTGAACATATAATACATGATATGAGCCCACATTGACCATTTATATATTGCCATTTCTATGCCATTGTTGATGAGACCTGTTTGCAGCAATTGAAGCGAGCTGAGGCTGAGGGAACAAGGCGGGAGGAGAAGAAAATAACCAGGACAGAGGAAAACATGGGACGCAAAAGGAGTCATGGATGTGTTTTTGGTTCGGACAAGAAGGTGGACACCCGCCAAGGACATGCCTCCTTGTCCTCCTTGTGCAAAAGCTCCGAGTTCCTGCTCCGTGAGTCACCCTCTGCTATGTTTAGCAGCTCCACGGGACGCCTCCAGCTCCTTTTCCAACAACATCGAGGAAAGGGGCGAAGATGAAAGCCAGGCCGAGGGCCCTCCATGCTGGGGCCGGCGGGCAGCCAGAGGCGGTGTTGACCTTGGCTCTGC